GAATCCAGGTGTAGAAATGGGAGTAGCTATACCAGAAGGGCAGGGGGAAGGTGGGGAAGGGAGGGTGGGATGGGGGACCGATTGTGTTGATCAACACGTAATTACACAACCCGCCTCCAGGGGGACGGACACCAGAAACCATGGGGGAATAGAGATGCCGGTCGGTGCAAGATATGAAAATAATACTAATTTGGGGTGGGGGGGAGGCGGGGAAGAGGAGCTGATCCCAAGGGCTCAATAGAAAGTAAACGTCTAGAAAAGAATGATGGCAACATAAGTACAAGTATGCTTGATACAATTGCTGTATGGATTGTTATAAGAGCTGTAAGAGCCCCCAATAAAATGATCTTTTAATAAAAAAATTTTTTTAAAGAGTCGGCACCGACTTGATGGCAGTGAGTTCGGGTTCTCAGTTTGAATCCCCTCTTTAAGCTTTTCCCAACCACACTAACCCACTGGCTCTCCTCAAGCAACTCCGACCTCGAGTCACCTCTATCACTTGAAAGAAACACCTGAAGCAGAGGTCCCATGTAAAATATCTCACCGCAAATCATACAGAGAACCAGAAAACATATTCTGTTTCACAGACTAAGTTCCGCTAATGTATTCCAATCATCTGACCGCGTGTGCTGGGAATCAGAGCAGATGCTGAGGGCAGAAGAGTGTGGTGACCCAGCAACGCAGGGGCTGTCAGCACCTGTCAGGACCTGCACCTACGAGCACAGAAAGGGTTCCTTTGTTCTCTCCAGCAGATGGAAACTGCCCACCCCCCACATTTTTTTAATCCAGAGGCAGCTATACTGTTATAATATATATAGTCTAGGTGTTAAGCCAAAATGTTTGAATTCAAATCCTAGCTCTGTTAATTGCTAGATGGATAATTATGTTATTTATCCCTCTGTGCCTATTTCCTCATCTATAAAGTGGGAAATAATACCTAGCTCATGGTGTTTCAGTAAAGATCAATGGAGTGAATGCACACAAAACCCTTCTTAACATACCTGGCACCCAGAAAATACTCACATGTGAGAGCTCACAGCATTGCCATTGTTATAAGAAAGAGCTGGAGGGCAGGGGGACAAAGACATTATTCTGTTCTTACAGATTAAGATACAGTAACTTCCTTCTCTTTGAGATAATTCTACAGATCTCATCAGCAATTTGAAAAAGCCCTGGTGGCTTTGTGATTAAGTGCTCAGCTAGTAACTCAAAGGGGGGTAGTTCAAACCCACCAACTTTGTTCTAAGGCAGAAAAATGTGGCAGTCCAGAGCCCCTAGGCACCTTAATCCCTCAGAGGCAATTCCACTTTCTCCCACAGGGTTGGGCTGGGTTTGGGGGCATATGTTTGCTATGGATTGAAATGGACTTGGTGACAGTGGTTAAGTGTCCAGCTGCTGATCCAAAGGTCTGTGGTTCAAACAACAGCCACTCCATGGGAGAAAGCTGTGGCAATCTGCTCCCATAAAAAGCACAGCCTTGGCAGCAGTTGGGCAATTCTACTCTGTCCTATAGGGTCACTATGAATGGGAATGGATGAGACAGTAATGGGTTTGGGTTTTCAAAGAATAGTTCTATCAGCAATTTATATTTGTAAACTCTATCAGTCCTAACTACTCCCAGCCCTAGAGACGATCCATTAAAAATTTAAATTCCTTTCTGAACGATTTCTAAGTTTCCAAACCTGCTTGATCACCCACGCTCTGGCAGTACAATAGGACCATTAAACTGGAGGGTAGAGAGTATGCAAGGGCACAATAACCCCTTTGTAGCAGCCTGTGCTATCACATACCACCACTTAGGTTTCTGAGAGCTGCCTCCTTAAGAAAGAACTAACAAACTCCATTGTTCCTTCACATCAGAGTTCTTGGATGTGATAGTCCTTAAATCCCTGGCAAGGCCTTATTAAAGATCAAAGGATCTTGGATCTTTCCATTAGGACAGCATCAAATCCCTTCAAGCAACTTTCCTAGGTCGGCATCATTATTTGAGATACCAGGGAGACTGGCACAATTTCCACCTACTAAGCTTGTTCCTTGTTTGGGGCTGAAAATGCAAGGTAAAGTTAGCAAAGACATTAGCACTATCCTCAGGAATGTTTTTTGAGTAAAAAATTTAAAGAGAATTATGAGATTTGTTTTAAGTCCTTTTCCCCAGACAGCTATTTAAGGAAGTAAACAAACAAAAAAAACCCAAATAACGATGACCATTAAAGAAAATACAATTAAAAAACTAAAGCCCACCCACTGCCATCAATCATAATGATACAGAAAAAAAGTGCCCCATAGGGTTTCTAAGTCTGTAAATCTTCATAGATGCAGGCTGCCACATCTTTCTTCCACTGAGCAGCTGATGGACTGGAATAACAGACCCCCCAGTTAGTAACCAAGCGCTGACTGCTGCACTACCAAGATGCTCCCACAATGCTGCTGATTCGCGCAGCCTGCCACATGAGTAAGCCAATTCATGACTTCTGCACTACCAAGATGCTCCCACAATGCTGCTGATTCGTGCAGCCTGCCACATGAGTAAGCCAATTCATGACATGAAGTAGGTGGCAAGGGTGAGCAAGAGTATTTAGTGAGCACTAGTACCTGAGGCAAGAACCTGAGTAACTTAGTGGATTACACAGTGGGTGCTGACCACAAGGTCAGTACTTCAAACAGGCAGCTATGTGGGAAACACATGAAGCTTTCTATGCCCATAAAGAATTACTGTCTCAGAAACCCACAGAGCAGTCCTACTCTGTTCTATAGGGCAGTGTGAGTCAAAATCGACTTGTTAGCAATGAGAAAAAGAACCCAAGGCAGACAGAATGGGCCTTGTCTATCCAAATCTGCCTCCTACTTTCTAGGCAAGGCATAGGGGCTGACTGGAGGACATGGGATCTTCTGGAGCACTCCACCCTGAGACAGGCCTTCTGTTTCTCAGATTGGTCTCTTTGTTTGGAGGGACATGTCCGCAGTCCACCTGCAAGTACTGTCAGCCAGTTGTGTCTTTCAAATGGAAATGGGTTAATTTCTAACTCCTAAAAGGAAACACCATACGTTTGATCATTCATAACGCATTCTACTAGAATTTCAAGACTGAAGCAAAAGGGAAAAATGTACTGGATGCCTCAGTGCATCCTCAAGGACTCTTTCTTCTTTTTTTATTATTATTATTTTTTAAACATTTTATTAGGGGCTCATACAACTGTTATCCCAATCCATACACACATCAATTGTGTAAAGCGCATTTGTACATCATTCTCAAAACATTTTCTCTCCACTTAAACCCCTGACATTAGGTCCTCATTTTTCCCATCCCTCCCCGCTCCCCCCTCCCTCATGGGCCCTTGATAGTTTATAAATGGGTATTTTGTCATATCTTGCCCTGTCCGCCGTCTCCCTTCACCCACTTTTCAGTTGTCTGTCCCCCAGGGAGGAGGTCACACACAGTTCCATGTAATCGGTTCCCTCTTTCCTACCCATTCTCCCTTTACCCTCCGTTTCGCCACTCACACCACTGGTCCTGTAGGGCTCATCCGCCCTGGATTCCCTGTATTTTCAGTTCCTATCTGTACCAGTGTACATCCTCTGGTCTAGCCAGACTTGCAAGGTCGAATTCGAGTCATGGTAGTGGGAGCGGGAAGGAAACATTTAGGAACTGGAGGAAAGTTGTATTTCTCATCATTGTTACATCGCACCCTGACTGGCTCATCTCCTCCCCGAGACCCCTCTGCAAGGGGATCTCCAGTGGCCTACTAATGGGCTTTGGATCTCCACTCCGCACTCCCCCCATCATTCACTACTCAAAGACTCTTTCTTAGAACACAGTGGTCCCTAAAAGTTCCAATTCAGTCACCAATGGGCTAATTGAGAATTCTGATTTTCCAAATATTTTTCCATAAAAAAACAAACAAGCAGACAAAAATGCTATAGCTCTCAAGTCAATTCCAACTCGAATCCTATAAAACTGCCCTATAGAGTTTCCAAGGCTATAAATCTACAGAAGCAGGTTGCCACATCTTTCTCCCAAGGAACACCTGGTGGGTTAGAATCACTGACCTTTCAGTTAGCAGGAGAGTGATTTTTCCACTGAGCCACTAGGGCTCCTTATGCTTCCATAAACAAGCCGAACTGCTGAAAAGGTAAAAGAACCATATCACTTCTGTCTTGGGCTCCTGTGGTCAAATTATCAGGCAAAAACGAAAGTCTGCAATGGCCCATTTGTCTTCAATATGCTCATCTAACTGCCTTTTGGGGAGTCCTGTTCTGGAAAGCCCTGTTCTTGCTTACCTTCAAAAGTGGACTCCGACTTACAGCAACCTTATTGGAAAAGAGCAGGTCCTAAACACACAGAGCCTGAACAATGGAAGGAGACCATTACGGGTAGGCCACTAAGATGTGGTTGTAGCATGTGTGCTCTGATCTTGGTTCCAAGGGGACCAGACTTCAGAAAATGTAAGCACATGTTTGCCAGAGCAACAGAAGTAGGTGTGAAAATGCCAAGCTAGCCGAGGGGCTAGAGAATAGGGAGCTGACTGCTTACAGCGCCCACCACAAATTGTAGGACGCTAAGAACAAGTTGCTCTCATAAAGACAGTGATGTCAACTGTAATAAAATATTTGGGCAGGACTGGAAATGTGCACCTGTGGGAACCTGAGAGATATGACAGATTTTTGTTTTTCCCAGCCCTTTATCAGTAAGTTAATTATAGCAACTGTGCAATCTAACTCGGAGGTTAGAGAAAGGCAGCTAGCTGTATGAAACCAAGATGTTGCTCTCCTGGGCATGGGAAAGACAGATTGACAGCAGTGCGTACATGTAAAAATATTCCTAGTCTGACTGGAGTGGAACAATGAGCCAGAGAGCATAGTTAGGTGAAGGGCTATGCTCTACTGTGTAGATGTGTAACACGCCTACAAAGGATACATCACACACACACACGTATTTTTCCAAAACTCCAGCAACTTTGATCTCATTCCGTTCAGCCCTTCTTTCCCAGAGCACACGTTACCTTCACAGGTATAATTGTAAACGGCCACTGCTGATTTTTCCACCAGATTCTCATCATGATGCCAGCTGACCGCCATGTTGCCCATGCCAAAATATGGCTCTTCTTTCAGGTAGGACATTTTCTGAGGATCCATGAAATTCAGCAAAGTTACATTGTATGCTGCTCTGCTCTTATAGTCCACTTCTTCTTGTCTGTCAGAGGACAGCCCCAAACCAAGCCTGGGGTAATCTGGTGCTATATACACGGGCAGGGCATCATCCACACCAGCTTTCTCTTTGGAAGTGAGTTCTTCCAAAGCCTGGATGGTCTCCAACTGCAGATAGTCATTGAGTTTGAGGAAGGTTTGACAGGCAGCGCCGATTTCATCCTTGGTATAGTTTGCAACGGAACCATTCACTGGCCAGGGGATTGTGAAAAGCCTGGTGTTCAAGTACTTGTAGGTGCAGCCTGGATTCCCAATGAGGATGCGTGACACTGGAGTGAGCAAATCTTTGCCTTGGATCCTAACCAGGTCCCGGAATAGGCAGCCATGCTTATGCAGGGTCAGAAAGGCTTCTTGCACCTCCTTATGGAGCTCCTCGGGTACACTGTCAGCTTCTCGGAAAACGAGTTTCGGGTATTTCAACTGCCACTAGACAAAACCAAGGCAAAAAGAGAGTTACAAATCTCATGGTTTCTAAGTGCGGGTGTCTCTCTGCTTACTATAAAGAAAAAAAACTGTACGTAGCATCACTAAACTGGACTTATATCTTCTCACTCAAAAACAGATGAAAAAAAATAAAACAAGTGTCACCAAATTCTCCAGGCAAGATTTTCAAGTCCAAGTACAAACTACTAACAATCTTTAATAGAAACAAAACAGTAATGACCGTTTGGGCTTTGATCTCCCGCCTTACCTCTATTACACTTTCCCCACCCCTCAATCTGTCTTCTAGCCTTTGACCTTCCAGCAAATACAATTTCACTAATCAACTACTCACCAATATTTATGGAATATCTTATGATTTAACAATTTTTAATTCTCCTGGAATCCATATTTCTGGTGTGCCCATGAGGTTGGGGTAGCTGGCCAAGGCCATTGCCCATTAAATGCCCTTTTGAAACTTGAATCTGAAAGAACTGGT